CGTTTTACCCCGTCCAAAATGCGTATGATCCGATGAATTACATACCGCTCCCCCCCGCAATGCATCGTGGTTTTAACGTACCACTCGTTGCTTTGCGGGTCAGGCTTTAATTTGCCGAAGCCTCCGGTTGTGACTTTGCAACCAGGAATTATTCCACCTACATGCAATTCGTGGAACTTTTCTTTTCATTAAGTTTATTGTATTGTGATTCGTTTGGCACAGCCTAGCCTCAGAGGTGTGTAATATATATATATATATATATTTCCGTACCAATTTCTCTACCCTCTATTAGTTAGGTCTTTTTGTAGCTGCGTATCCACTATCCGCTACCAAGTTCAATCCTGTGTTACCAGAAAACACTCCTTATGCACTAAGTCGTTGTGATTGATCTGTTTACCCCTTTACATCCCTAATGTTCGTCATGCTTTGATCTAACTACGCTTTGTGAGCGATTTGGCTCGGATCCAGTTGCAATGTGCCATATCTTGCCTCACCGTCGGCTGGTGCCTTATTATTCGCTGTAACTGCTACGGAATGGAGACGAGGCCTGGAACAATACAAAGCATGATTATGTCAATGTGTCTCTGTCGCAACTTGGGCCCAGAGGACTCTGCTTTTGGTTCGTCGGACGCACTGAAAGATATAGCAACCAGCTGACGGCAGTGGTGTTTTTATTGCTCACCACATTAGAATGCTTCGAAAGGTGTTTTTACAGTTTGATGGTATACTCTGCTTGTTAGCCATAGAGATTTACTTTTTTTCTTCATGCAATATAGGGTTAGTCACTGTCCACATTATGTATCCTCACTTTGTGCACCTTTCGAGATTGACAACTATTAACAAACCTCGCATTGGGATATTGATGATTGAATAGAAAGTCAAATCGAATGGCGAACGTAGAGCCATGCTCTTGTGCTGAAGACTCTTCCGTTGGCGCACTGTGGTGCGGTTCTCAATGTCATATTGTCATCACCGGAGCAAGTCGTGGATTCGGCCGAGCTTTGTGCCTACGTCTCATAGAAGCACTCACATATGGAAAAGATCAACCCCTGTCAATAAGGATGCTATTAATGGGACGCGATCGAAATGCCTTGGAGGAGACGAAAGTTCAGGTAATCTTTCTTTTATATCCAAATGTTTTAGCACTTCAGGTTATGTGGATTCGGAACTGGGGTATAGTTCATAACCGACGATGTCAGTTGAAAAGCTTGAGTACATGTACTTCGTTTTTGTCCATACTACTGTTTGCCTGATTTCATACTGAATAAATTGAGAATACCATATTGGTTCCACTGTTTCAGCGTATAGATGCGAACCAATTCTGATTATTGTCAACCTTTTTTAGATCTATGGTAACTAGCAAGGTTTAGATAAATGAATTTTCGAATCCTCGATGCAGTCATATATCCTTCGCGTATTTTTCATGGGTGATCCCAACACAGGATAGTCAGATTTTCCACTCACCTCCATCAGCGATGTACATCCAGAGCGCTGTTAAAAAGTGTTCTCAATATTTTCCCTCAAGTTTATTTCATCTTTTGCGACTGACTGCGTATTGCGCTGTCTTTGAACCTATTTGACCAGTTATGACAGTCGAGTCGTCATTTGCATTGCCCCAGATATGCTTTCTAGGCTCACTAAAAAGTAGAGGCTGCCTTCGATCTACTGAATGAAACAGACTGAAGTGAACAAATAAATGGGGTTTTGCGTTGTCCTCTCATATAAAGTGTAACAGCGCAGTGTATGTAAAAATCACATTTGATTGAGGAATGGCGTCCAGTTCGTCAGATCATATACACAAAGTGCCCAATTTACCTCGATCAATTCACCAATCAAGCCGGTGGCCGCGAACATTACCAAGCGGTTGAGATTCCTACACCTATTCTAGGTTAGCTTAGAATAGAAGATTGTAGCCGATTCCTCAAGATAACCTTCTGGACTTTGACTTTTCTCCTTACAATGAAGAAAACATCTACTGTGCGAAAGAAATCGATAGAAGCTTGATCAAATGGGAGCATTTCACCAAATTCAAGTTAAGGATAACTATCCACAATCCAAGGTACCCACTTCATTGAAGCTTTCGGACTAATCATATGCCCCCTCCGCGCAGCACCGACCAAAGAATATGTATACATTTTATACTTTTCAATGAAGGTGATACGGGGTACCATAGAGCTAGAATTATTGAATTAAAACACTCGGACCTCGCCCGAAAGTGTTAGGTGTGTTAGGCAGCAGTTTACACATCACTGTCTACGGCGTATTCAATCGGGGGTGGAGGGGGACAAAGCATGCACGGAAAACAAGGGAGTGTAACGACCGGTAATAATGATTCTGACAACAAATGTATTTGATGGACTATGTTGAAATAGTCGTTTGGTGAACTTTAAGCCTTACTCGCCACCTTTAATCCCTTGTTCGGTCGAGTTTACTAAATTAAAGAAACCAAACCCTGAGGTGAACACGATCAGTTGAATAGCCGGTTTTTATCCATATTACATGGTATGAGCTTGGTCGCCAGCGCGGCCAGGGATGCGGGTCGGGAAATTAACCATTTGGTGGAGGCTATTCTGAAGGGCAAATGATTCTGCTTCACGTCCAAGGGGCGATGTCTCTGAAGAGTGTAACAGCCAATCCATGTTATGGATATTAAAACCACCCAAAACTGTGAACCGAGCGTTGGGGTGTGCTTCAACCCTGCTGTTTATGTTTGCCAATAAAATGTTAGGAGTTGAAGGTCCTTACTATTTGGGGAACGGTACACATTGCAGAAGTAGTAATTGAAAGAAGGGAACCGAAGTTTCAGCCAAAGAGTCTGGAGCTCGCGGTTGGTGAGTTTTAGATGGAGGAACGGTGTAGAAACAATTTATTGATGAGTGGAAGTACAAACACCAGCTTTGGGAATAAACGTAGTGTGAAGGGAACAATTGGGAAACTGAGGATGGGTGGTGTCTGTAGAAGCGGAACGTTGTGTTTCGGATAAAAATAGAGGAAAAGGTGAATTGAACTGAAGAAATTGATGTGAAGAATCAGTATTATGGTTTAAGTCGCGAATATTAGTGAACGCGATTGTCGAGTGAGAGTGCGCTTGAGAATTGATCCTGCTAGTTGTAGTATTCACAGTGAGGTGAGAGGTAACCGGCAACCTAGCCCTGAGCCTTGTAGTGGCGAACCACACAAGGCCCCCATTGGCTAGGCGGTGGTACTAACTCGAACGACGGCATAACCGTCTATCACCCTACAAGCTGTGCCAAAACATCCAAGGAAGGCTACGTTTGATGACTAGATCTCTGCAGAAACACTTCAGCTGTCTAATAAGGCCAGAGCGGTGTTACTCCGCAAGTCCTCAACCTATGACACAACCACTCGTTCCTTGAAGATTAGCCGGAATAGGTATTGGTCAGGAATACCAGCCAAAATTGGGGCCGCAATATGCATCAAAGTCTTGAGAAACCTGTTCTCCATGATCCGTGAAAAGACGAGTTAGAAGTCTCCTGTGAATATCATTTTACGCGACCTGAGGGGACACCTTAACAAGGATGTGAAGGAGAGTTGCTACGATGGTTTCAACATTGGCCAGTGGTGATTAAATGAAACCATTCAGTCAACCGCGAGTCATCAGATATGAAGATCTCTTTTGCGTTTAATAAACTAAAGAGTAGGAAGGCCCCGGGGTAAGATGGTATTCGGTCGGGTGTACTTCAGTCCTGTAACTGTCCTTCATTGGTCATTTGAATACCTGAATGAAAAATGCATGGAACACCTAAGTACGAAAGTCGTTTGTAACCTCAGAAGATGAAATAAAAACTGGCTTTTACTCTGTGTCCACGTTGGAACTAAACGTCGCCCATGAGCCATCATTTTGAGGGACACCCTGTAGCATACTCATAGTTGAGCAGGAGTTAGTCGCATGAACACAAGAGTATTTCGTGACATGCTCCTTGTACAATTTTCTCACAAGTAATTGCTGGTTTTATAGAACGGTTTTGCTTGATTCTTGGTATGAGTTGTTAACCTCGCTATTGTTATTATTATAATATCGATCACGACGAGACTGCATCTTGACGTGGTTTGATGGCTTGTGTACATCTGTGACCGAACGAGCTACACGGGATGGCTTTTGTCAAGCCGCAGATATAATCATGCCTGGAAGGTCGAACGAAGTCTAGCCTCCTGGTCGGGGGTTCGACTAGAATTCACGTTTCAGTCGGTGATAAATGGTGGAGGAGTAATTGATCCAAGTAAATGAGCCTCCACTTCGCTTCATCCGCTGCCTTGCGGCTAGGTTCTTGTCAGAACTAAATGCTTTGGTTTAGCACCCTAATCGTTCTTCTGCTTTCTGACTGGACTCCCTAGCAGTGTCCGTACATCACACTCCAATGCAAATGCACTGCGAGTTTGGCAGTGACCAGTGAAGTTCGCCTCACTGTATTTCGCTTAACCCTGATGATGATGATCCATATTACAGCACGAATGCTTTGGTCACCGTCAACGACTTAACTGTAACAAGCCGAGCAAATCATCACTTCCTCTTTTGTAAAATTTACTGTACTGTGATTTGTTTGACAGTTTGAACTCAGACGTGTTTGAAAAATCCATATATCTGATAATACTTATTGTTTCGATCCATAAACTGATGTTATTCCCCAATGGGAACAAGTCGGCATTTTTATGTCATACCTGTGGACGAAATGTAACCCGCGGCCCAATTGACCCCAATGTACGGTTGTCCTACTTTCGTGCTGGATAGTGCAACATCTAAGATGTATAAGACAAAGCTTTGATCGGAATCCAGGTTATGAGAAACAGGAACAACTGTCGTTGGCCAACAATGGACGCAAACTGTCAATCTCAGTTGTCCCTTGGAGTAATAACCACGTCATTTTACCGGTCCACGATCACCGAACAAATCGTGTCTGATTCAGTCATGACCCGGGGCATCGTCTGATAGTCTAAACACAACTGTCTATACCCTCCTTTGAAAAATGCAACGATGCTAACTTTGTTTTAATTATGATCTTTCCAATAAAGGGTAGAAATTTGACCTCTGAATAATAAAGGTAATTTTCTATCATATTTACTATTTTCTACTCCAGGTAATGGCTCGTAGAAATCCACAGTCAGGCGCCGAAATAAAGGTAATGGTCGCACAACCGCTAATTGATATGGAAACGGCAACC